ATTCTTATCAAAACATTAAGATTCTTTTTAAAAACTCACCTGAGCCTATACTAAGTAAAAAAGAAAACTCACATTAGAAATTGTTTCTTATTTGTGAAAAAATACAAAAAATATTCAGATCCCTTTTATTTGAAATCTGGATTCCTCCTTGCACACTAGGAAGATGCAGAGACAAACCCTTGCAAATCTCCAGACAGACCGTCCCACAGTTGTGACTTTCCTCACACTTCTCAAAGCAGCGCGGTGAGGTCAGCTCACAAACAGCTTAAGCAGCAGAACCAGGACTCGGTGGTAGTAGTGTCAGGCTACATAACAGCCTCTCCAAAGAATATGAAGTAAGAGAACGAAAATGTGCTGGCACCGTCCCAAAAGACGGACAGCTACAGCTTCGAGCGATGAGGTTCAGAGCTTACAGTGGAGAGAATTCCTCTTCCCTGACCCTGCAGCTTGACTTTCCTGACTTTAACCCCAAAATAGCCACATAGAAGTCACTGAACACTGTCAACCATCTCTCTAAATATAAGCTGAAGGGCATGTGGGATTGCAAAGATCTGTTTAAACACACACATACCCTGAAAAGGAAACTGTCTTCCATCGATGTGAAGATGAAGAAAGTCAGACACAATTATACTATATAGAACAGCCTTTGTTACCCAGGAATTGTGCCTACAGCATTATTCTGAAGGTTTAGGGATTTCTTTGTTGTCAGTTTTGACACACTGAAGTTGCCTGGCAATGAAAATTAGTCAACTTTCTCAAAAGAAATAATCCTAGCAGATTAATCAAGGCATATCAAGCAATTTTGCTAAGAAACAATTCCTTTACCTTTAGTCATAGTTACTTTGTTTGTCAGTTCTGAGTCGGTCTCACTGCGTAACCAGGCGAGCCTAGAACTCCCTCTGTCTCCCAGACTAGACGAGAAACTCAATCCTCCTGCTCAGCCTCCCAAGTACTGGGATTTAAGGCATTTACCACCACACATGGCTTTACATATTACTTTTATAATCTCATCTTGACCAAATCATACATTAAAATAGGATTATAAACCCTAATTCTTGAACCTCTCACACTTTCAAAGCATAACTTTTCTCTAAAGAATCAAGAAGTTAGGCGTAGCAGGCAGACCTGTAATCCTAGCATTTAGGAGGTAGAGGCAAGAGGATCAGGAGTTCAAGACCACTCTCACTACACAGAGTTTAAGGCCAACCTGGGTACATCAAATAAACAAAAATCACTCAAAAATTCTAGGCTGAAAAACAGTCAAATTTAATTCAAATCAATATATATTTATTTAACATGTATTTTGCACCAAATATTACTCAGAGAATGGAGGAGCCAAAGGTAATCTATGTACATGGTTTTAAGAGAGTTGATCTCATTGGGGAAACCACATGGCATACTCAATGTGTTCTACTAAGAGCCAAAACAAAAACCTTGGTGTTGCTGATGAAAGAGTGGGTAAATCCAGACACATTTTGAAGACATCACAGGATCTGAGCTGTATTCAAGCTCCTTTCACAAAGGGAAGAATACGAAAGTCAAAAACAGAATGGGCAAAGCATCCCCCCCACCCCAAAAAAGGACAAAAACATGGAAAGGAAGAAAAACCAAAACACCCATATAACAAGGGTAAAAATGCCTGGTACACGTGCCAGTGCTCTTCTACCCTTATCCCATGACAGACATCACCAATCAATCAGAGCATACTTTTTTTTTTTAAATCAGAGCATACTTAAAAACCACACAAAGTTTCAAAATCCTTCTAAACAGATAACACAAAAAGGCAGGGCCATGAGACTAAAAGGCCTAGGACTTGAGGCTAGATGGGCCAATTAAAAACAGGCTATATGGCCATGAATGTGAGGCTAACAAGTTTAGACTTTCTCCCACAAGTAACAGAGGATAAATAAAGGTTCTGTGAGAAAAGATCGATTCTGGCACGGTGATGAACGGACGTGAGCAGACAGGAGAGCAGAAAGGACGAGCGATACTGTACGATTAGCTCTCCCATAATCGCACTCTTGGGAGTGGAGGGGAGGTGGTAGGAGCTCAACATGATCAAGGCTACAACAATAAATTTAGGCTAGCCTGGGCTACAAGAGACCCTATCTCAACAACAAAAAAAAACCTTGAGAATGTAGATCTGTGATATAGCACCTGTCTAGCAGGTATGAGGCCCACATTCAATACATTGTACTATAAAAAAAACAAACAAATAGAAAAATAGTAAAATAGTAATTGTGGGTCAAAAGAGAAGTAGAAAAACCTATGGCTGGCTCTAAAAAAAAAAAAAGCAGAGTTTTAGATTCTAAAATCATTTAAAAATAAAAATGAGGGTAAACCCATGTAATTAGAATTCTCAAGTAGCATTCAAAAGGAAGGTAAAGGCTAGAATTAAAGAATTGAAAAACAATGTTAGGCTCAAGATTACCCAAGACCATAAATTCAGAAGTAGGTATTCCAGGGTTAGCATCAGGAAAGAGAACATCCTCATGACCAGACTGGCACTCAGCAAGTCTCTCCTGTTCTGAGGCACCAATACACTGGCCAACAGCAGATGCGGTTACCTCACACGCCCTACGTGCCTCGCGGCACAGGGCAGACTCACACTACATGAAGTGCAGAACACCAAGTTGCTCATCTTAAAACCAAGGCTCATCCAAAACTCTAAAACCGCACATTTCTCTTAAGCAACATAGTTCATACGAAATAATACCATTCTATCATTAACTACTTAGGCATAAGTCTTACACTCTATTACCCTTTGCATGAAATACAACCTATCTATAGAATTTTGGACAGAATGAAAAAAAAAGTAATTCCTACCACATATGCAGAATGAATACTAAATGGCATTATTCTAATTAGATACAAAACTTCAGGGCTGAGGATGCAGCTTAGTGGCTAAGGACTACTTGTCTGACATGAATAAAGCCCTAGTTTTAATTCTTTTTTTTCATTTTATTGATTTTTATTGAGATCGACATTTTTCTCTGCTCCCCTCCCTGCCTCTCCCCTCCCTTTCAACCCTCTCTCAAGGTCCCATGCTCCCAATTTACTCAGGAGATCTTGTCTTTTTCTACTTCCCACCTAGCTTTGATTCTTAAAATCAAACATAAAACAATTAAAATTTAAACCTTTTTTAAATTGAAAACATTAATTTCAGTGAAGCACATCCCAATCATCCTAGCCCTTGGAAGATACAAGATCAGAAACCAGCAGGAAGCTAGTCTCGGCTACATGAAACCCTGTCTCAAGAAAGATCAAAAGGCTGGGCATGGGGGTACAAGTATAATCCCAGCAATCAGGAGGCGGGGGCGGATGGTTCCCTGTGAGTTCAAGGCCAGTTTGGTGTACAAAGTGTGTTCCAGGCCAGTCAGGGCTCCACAGCTCCATAGAGAGACTATGAAAATAATAATAATAATAAAATCTTTGGCTGTTATAAACAAAGGCTAAAGTAATAATATGAACTCCAAGGATACTAACAGGCTAGCATTAATGTTTTAAGACCTAAGGATGTTCAAATTGAGGGATAAAATTACTCTCCAGTGAATGCCAGCAATGTATTTCACACTACACAGACACACAATCAAGGGTTCCACTTTGCTCTCATTCTTTTCTGTATCATTACAGCCAACACTGAACACCTGCCATTTCAGCACGTGGTGGATGGAGGCAGGAGGACCAGGAGTTCAGTCATCCTCCACTACACAATTAGTCTGAGACTTTCTCAAAAATAAAGACAAACAAAAAACCCACAAAAGGGGTGCCCACTCTCTTACAATAAGACAAAATTGAAAAATATGAACATAAAAGAAAATGCATGTGGTTCATTTAAAAAAGGAAATCCAAAATTCATCATCACTTCTCTCTTAGCAGAAAGAATGAATCTATCACAGGAAGGGTCACCTTGTCATGATGTCATTCTAAAGTCATTACAGAATTTTACACATGTTATGCTTGCTTCCAGTCAATCACAAAGAAGTCATCCTGAGACGAAGGTCAGATTCCATTCTAAAGATCTCCAAACTCAAAGGAAAGGTCCATAAGAACATAACATCCAATGCAGACACAGAAACCCCTCCTCCCCAGTTAAAAAAAAATCAGTTCTTCCCGTTTAGCTAACTGTAATGGAATGTGGCCCATACACAAGGGCTTTCCCATTCCTCATTTTCTCAGAAAATATAAAGCAGACTTAATCTTTTTTATAAGGAGAATATGTTTGTGACAGAAAAAAACTGTAACATTAATAAGCCTTTTCCCTCCTCATGAGTCCACTCGAATACTCAGGAACGCTTTTCCTTTCTCAGTAAACTCTATTTCCTCTCATTAAAATTTTTTTTAATACGTAGTTGATAATTAGTACAAAGGGGTAACTGCACTCACTTGCACAGACCAACACACAGACACACCATACGTACATAATTAATAAAACGTTTTTAAAAGGAGAGGGGGTGCAGTGATGGTTCAGCAGTTAGGAGTCCTAGCTGCTCTTGCAGATATCCCAAGTTCAGTTCCCAGCATCCACATCAGGAGACTCATAAACACCTACAACTCCAGTTCCTAGGGAACCCAAAGCCTCCATGGGCATGGGAGGCAGACAGGAGATCTCTGTGAGTTCGAGGCCAGCCTGGTCTACACACAGCGTGAGATTCAGGATGGCCAGGAATATACAGAGAAACCGTGTCTTTAAAAAGAAAAAAAGAAAAGCAAAAAAAGAAAGCTTTTGTAAGTTTTAACCCAAGTTTTAAAATAAACAGCCAGCCAGTGGTGGCACACGCCTTTAATCCCAGCACTCAGGAGGCAGAGGCAGGCGGATCTCTGTGAGTTCGAGATCAGCCTGGGCTACAAGAGCTAGTTCCAGGACAGGCTCCACAGCTACAGAGAGACCCTGTCTCAAAAAACCAATAAATAAATAAATAAATAAATAAATAAATCCACCATTTAATTCCCATGAAAGCTGTCACAAGGAAACAGCACTACAGGTGAGCTTTACTTACATTCTTCCTACGCCTTCATACATGTTAGTTTCATCTACCAGCGTCATAATCTCTGTGTCTGTGAGGTGCGCATGCTTTTTCGTTCTGTTTAGCTGTTCAATCTGTATGTCTGCAAGCTTCACCTTCTGCTGGGTATCAATAACTTTGGCTTGAAGCTCTGTGAAGGCCTAAGGAAAACAAGACCCTGATTTAGAAAGGAAACATTTAAGTCAAAGCCAGATTTATTAAAACAGAACACACTAACCAAAGTTGTGAAACTTACCAAAATAAGCACAAATGAGAGTGAACAGAATTCTAATACTATGCTAAATTCTAAAGGTACCCTATTCAGACGATATGATCAAATGAACAAGCAAAAGTCCATTAAATAACAACCATATTTCAAATAACTAAAGAGTAATAAAAGGAATAAATAAAATACTCAGGGGATAAAACTCAGAGATCCAAAGCAAGAACTGTAAAAGGAACAATTCACTATATCTATATTATATAACTAGAATTCAAAGCACTTCACATCATTTCAAAATCTTGGCTGGAGACTCAGAGCTGGAGTCTCACGCCTGTAACACTAATAGCTGGGAAGTGGAAGCAGAGGATGGGAGTAGTGAGGACTCAGACACAAGATATTCAAGGCCATCTAGGCTATAAGACACCTTGTCCCAAAAAAGAATTTTTTTTAGAGCCAGTAAGATTGGCTCAGCAGATAAAGGCACTTGACATCAAGTCTGAGGACCTAAATTTGATCCCTGGGAACTACATGGTAAGAGAGAACTGACTCCCTAAAGCTGTCCCCTGACCTCCACGTGTGCACTCTGGCACACCATATCAGTACTCACCCTTGAGCACATACACATACACACACACACACACACACACACGCACGCAATTTTTTAAAAAAAATAAGATAGAGAAATACATAGATGGGTGGATAGATACATGGATGGATAGGTAGATAGACAGACAGAAATAGATAGATAGGCAGGTAGGTAGATAGACAGAGGTCCACGAGATGGCTCAGCAAGTAAAGGTTCTTACTACCAAGCCTAATAACCTGAGTTCCATCTCTGGAACCTGAATCCACATGATAAAAGGAGAAAACCAGCTCCCTAAAATTATATTCTGATCTCCTCACACTCTGACCACACACTATCATGACATGTGTGTGCCCACACTCACACACATCTGAGATTTACATGCCACGGATAGAGGTGCACACTTTTAATCCAAGCACTAAGGGGGAAGAGGCAGGAGGATCTCTTGTGATTTCAAGACCAGCCTGGTCTACACAGTGAGATCTAGCTAGTCAGGGCTACATGGTGAGTTCCTGTCTCAAAAAGGAAAAAGAAAAAACTAAATAAAAATAAAAAGGACTGCAATTTACAGCATGAGAGAGAGAGAATGCTGTGTGAGATTAACTTTACAAGTTTCAAGTCAAGAATGGCCAAGAGCAAGAGCCACATACTTAGCATCCCCAGAACAATAACAAATGGCTTCTTTTATTAGCAACAACAGCTATTTCAGCTGTCCTATTGCTTAAACAGAGGTTAACCAGAGGCAGCTACTTAATATGTTACTGGGAGCTCGGGGAAATAGTCAGTCAGTGGACTTAAGGCTCACTCCCCATGACCCACAAAGAAAGTTGAGCTTAGGAGTGGAGGGATGGCTCTGGGGCTAAGAGCATTCGAAGTTCCTGCAGAGGACCTGGGTTTGGTTCCTAGTATCCACATAGCAGCTCACAACCACCTGTAACTACAGTTTCAGGGGATCCAAGGCCCAAGTGGGCAGTACACATATGGTAAACAGACATTCATGCAAGCAAGATGCCCAGATGCATAAAAATACAGCTTGTTGAATGCTATGCATGGAGGCAGAGAGAGAGTAAAAGAGGATCCTTGAAGCTCATTAGCTAGACAATCTAGTCAAAGAGGAAATCCCTAGGTCCCAGTGAGTGACCTTATCTCAGAATAAAATATGAACAGTCCCTGCCTAGAATGCAGGAAGCCCTGGGTATAAGTGCTGCATGCCAGCTACATAGCCAAGTTCCAGGTCAGCCCGGACTACATGAGACCCTGTCTTTAAGGGAAAACATAACAAAACAAAAGCAGAATCTGGGTCAGTGAGAAGGCTCACCTTGCCTAAAAGGCCTGATGACCAGAGTTCAATCCCTAGGAACCACCTGAACCAACTCCCAAAAGTTGTTCTCTGACCTCCCCTAAGCAACTTGAAGGTGTGTCCACACACACACACACACACACACACACACACACACACACACACACAAATAAAAATATATAATGTTTTAAAATAGGCTGCTCACTTACAAAACATACTGATCAAAATGTTATGATAATACCAAATTCTAAACTCGATTTTTGAAATGAATTTATTATTGTGTGTCTGAGTATGGGCCAGTGTGCGGCGGTATGCCTCTGAGACATTGCAGAACAACCTTGAGCTCCTCTCCCCTTTCACCATGGGTTCCAGGACAGAACTTAAACAGGCAAAAGCCTTCACCCACTGACCCATCTTGCTGCCTGGGGTTCAATCTTTTAGGACTTTCCCTGCCAGTGACCCTAGCACACATCTGTTACCCTAATATTCAGGAGGTAGCGGCACTAGAGAGATTAGGGGTACAGTGTCAAATCACATACCAAAAAACACTAGAAGGTTACCTTTCTAGAAAAGTAGATTTAAACTGAATGAATTCTGGGGAGCTTTCTAATTATAGCCAAATCTCCACAAAGAAAGCATAGTCTGAGTTCTTAGTAGTGTTAGGGTCCTAAGACTTTTAAGTGGCAAAAATGTTTCCAATTAACAACCGGCATTTGACTAGAGACTGTAATTCCAGAACTCAAGAGGCTGAGGCAGGAAGACTGCCTGGAGTTCAAGGCCAACCTGGACACCAGGCCAATTTAGGACACACTGAGATAATATCTCTAAAAAAACAAAGCAAAATAACAACAAAAATCATTTGTAAGCAAAGGATCGAACAACAACAACAAAAAAATCCAATTCCTCTGACCGCTCATTTGGAAAACTTTATTGTACTGGGGGAGGGAGGAGTTCTTTTAAAAGAAGGGCCCTGGAGGATTAAGGCCTTGACGTGAACATTGACAAAAGAGTGTCTGGTTTTCTGAGGTGTAGAAACAAGGTCCTTCCAAGGGGTGGTAAAGAATAAATAGCCTAAAAGCAAAGGCTGAACTAGTCGTTTTTCAAATCAAGTGAAGAAACCGAATTACAGAAGGTGCCCCGGTTCCAGCAAGCACTTTGAAGGGCATCTGTGGGAGACGCTGTCTTTAGTTCTTGCTTTTAAATTGGGTCCCTGACGGCTCCGATCGCTGAGAGATGACTCTGGAGTTCAGGACATGAGGACACACAGCAGCCCACTCACCTAGCCGCCCTAAGCAGCTCCCGCCGGCCAGAGCCCCCGGGGACCCAGGCCCGCCGAAGCGGAACGACCCCGTCTCAGGACTCCCGGAAGCCAGCCCCCGCCCCTACAGTCTCTGTGCTTAGGCGAGACTCCGGGCCCCTCTCTCTTCTTGCCCCCACTCGCCTCATCACTCAAACAGACGGCTCTGTCTGCTCAAAAGCCCCCATTACCTTCTTCAACTCCAGGTCCACGGGGGCCGCCATATTGGAGCACTCTGTGCGCCTGCGTTAGCTGCAAGCCGGAAAGGGATGGGGGAAGGGCGCTTTCAGGTTTAATTGCGAGACTTCCTTCTGCGCCTGCGCATAAATTAAACCCTACACCAGATTTCTCACTCTGTGTATCTGCTCCACTCCGCCACTCGGTCATGAGACAAGTGGCTCTAAACATTGGGAACTCCGATAAAATCTGATAAACGTGTAACCGCCCAGGTGTGACTCTTAGTTATGTTCCACACACAATTAGACAAACATCTTCGTTTGGGCTGCGGAATTGAAACAGGTGTGTTCAAACCCATCAACCACAGTCCTTCAGGTAATCCCTGTGCTTCTGTCAGGGATGTATAAAGCCCCCAGCTTCCGATCACTGGAAAGTGTGGTTAGAATATTCAGCCTCAAAGATCTTCTAACCACAGCGCTTTTCAAAAAAAAAAAAAAAAAAAAAAAAGCCGCATTTGATAGTTGAAATCAGACTCCTGGCTGGAGATGCAGTTCAATTGGCAGAGTACTTGCCTGGCACACGTGAAACTATGGGATTGAGCCACAGCACCGCATAAAATAGGTGTGATGGTGAATGCCTGTGATCCAAACGCTAGATGGGTGGAGGCAGGAGGATCAGAAGCTCAAGATCAGATCAGCAAGATGCACAGGGAATAAAAGTACTTGCCCCCAAGCCTGCCTACATGAGTTCAATCCCAAGAACCCAAGTGGTGCAGAGAACTGACTCCCACAAGTTATCCTCTGACTTCTTGTCTGTGCCCCTGCACGGGCTTATGCATATACAATAAATAAATACAATTTTTTAAAATGTTGTTATTGATTTTATTGAGCTATACATTTTTCTCTGTGCCTCTCCCTTCCTCTCCCCTCCCCTTCTACCCTCTCACGTGGTCCCCATGCTCCCAATTCACTCAAGAGATCTTGTCTTTTTCTACTTCCCACGTAGATTAGATGCATGTATGTCTCTCTTAAGGTCCTTTCTGGGATCTAGGTTCTCTGGGATTGTGAATTGTAGGTTGGTTTTCTTTGTTTTATGTCTAAAAACCACTTATGAGTGAGTACATATGATATTTGTCTTTCTGGGTCTGAGTTACCTCACTCAATATGATGTTTTCTAGATCCATCCATTTGCCTGCAAAATTCAAGACGTCATTTTTTTCTGCTGTGTAGTACTCCATTGTGTAAATGTACCACATTTTCCTTATCCATTCTTCAGTCGAGGGGCATTTAGGTTGTTTCCAACAAATGCAAGTTTTAAAGTACAATTAGGAACTGGAGAGATGGGTCAAAACATGTACTCCTCTTCCAGAGGACCAAAGCTTGACTCTCAGCACCGCGTCAGAAAACTGACAATGAGCTTATCTCCAGTTACAGGGGAATCCAACACTAGACTCTGCAGGCACCTGTGCTTATGTGCTCTCTCTCTCTCTCTCTCTCTCTCTCTCTCTCTCTCACACACACACACACACACACATACACACACATACACACACGAATACATAATTTAAAATAATAATAAGAAAATCAGCTTGGGCTACATGAGACTTGTCCCCCCCCAAAAAAAAAGCAAAAAAATAATAGATAAAGGTCAAGGGTCAAGCATGGTAGCCTATGCCTGTGATCCCAGGAAGCTGAGGCAGAAGGATCACCGTGAATTTAAGGTCAGTCTGCTCATGATTCCAGGCCAGTGTAAGCTGGAACACCGTGACTCCAGGAAAGAGAAAGGGTCAGGATACCAAAGGGATCTTATACAGAAATACATTTTGGCTTCGTCTGTCATTCTCTTGTCTCTGCTTTGCACACCATATACTTCGTTAATATAAGGACTTATATAATTCTAGAGAATACACAGCCAGTGTCTAACGAGAAGTATGTTGAAGCATCCACATCTCTCAACCTCTGCTTTACACTTGGGTACTTTCCAGTCTCTCTGAGCTGGAACATGATTTCCTAGAACTCACCTCACCAGTTTAAGGACTGTCTCTTCAACTCTGTCTCATTTATCATTTCAGTCATCCTTTGCGTTTCTACTTCAATAGCTACAAACTTTAATATTTTATTTAGTTTTTTATTTTGTTCTTTTGAGACAGAATTTTACTCTGTAGCCCATGCTAGCCTTAAGCTAATCCTCCTGCTTCAGCCTCCCAATACCAGCATTATAGCTATACACCTCCAAGTCCTGTTAAACTGCAGGTTTAAAATTCTGCTTAGGCCAGCCTGGGCTACAAAGATAAATTCTGCCTCAAAAAGCCAGAGGGGGAGAATTCCACTTGGTCATTTTCAAATCCATTTGCTCTTTTCCATAATTTCAAAATTACTTGGTACTGAGTGCAATTACAGCATTGTCAATGTAAGTGCTATAGACTTTCTTCACAAAGCCCTGAGCCCGAGATTTTCTAGATGCAAATCCTTTTATTGAGAATATCTTCTGGATCTCTCTTGTGATGGTTTGATCCTAGCACTGGGGAGATAGATCCACTTAGATCTTTGTTCAGACCATCCAGGACGATATGGTCTAAATACAAGAATAAAAGAAACATCTTTGTGAATGGCTTCCTCTTTTGGGGGGTGAAGGATTTGTTTTGTTTTTTGAGGCTGGGTTTCTCCGTGTAGCTCTGGCTGTCCTGGAACTCACCAGTTTGAGGCTGGCCTCAAACTCAGAAATCTGCCTGCCTCTACCTTCCTAGTGCTAGTATTAAAGGCGTATGCCACCACAGCCCAGCTGGCTTCCATTTCTATCCACTAAAAACCTTAGGAAATTTATGAGTTCCAGACTATATTTATTGGTTTTGTGTGTGTGTGTGTGTGTGTGTGTGTGTGTGTGTGTGTGTGTAGATTGCCATGTTGGGAAAAATAAAAGGAAAGAATCAATGTGGCAGGATGGTAGAAGATATCAGTGTAGAGATGGATGAGGTTGGATCATGAAAGACCTTGTATGGTTAGATTAGAATTGTCATTTTGAGTGTGATTGGAAGCCAATAAATGTTTTCATATTTTCTTTTCTTTCTTTTTTTTTTCTTTTTGGCTTTTTGAGACCGGGTTTCTCTGTTGCTTTGGAGCCTGTCCTGGTACTAGCTCTTGTAGACCAGGCTGGCCTTGAACTCACAGAGAACCACCTGCCTCTGCCTCCCAAGTGCTGGGATTAAAGGCGTGTACCACCACCACCTGGCAATTTCTAAATTCTTATGTGTACACTGTGGGTGTGTTACATTGTATGTGTGTCATGTGTCTTGTGTATAGTGTAGTTGCTAGTGTGTGAAGCTCTGCATGTGGGGTGTATGTGCACCTGTGTGCAGAAGGGGGCATTGTTTGGTATCTATCTTTCTTCAACTGCTTGCTTCCTTTATTTTTTGAGACCAATCCCCTTATTTAGCCAGATAAGCTGGCCCAGTGATCTCCAGGGATCCTCCTGTCTCTGTCCCCTCAGCACTAGTGTTATACAAGTGTGCCACCATGACAACCTTTTTACATGGGTTCTGGGGGTCTGAGTTCAAGTGCTCAGGCTGTCATGGCACTCACTTTACTGACTGAGCCATCTCCCCAGCCCTGGAAGTCACTAAATGATTTCTCGTGCCATATTGATATGATCTCATTTTCAAAGGATCATTTAGGTTATGAATGGGGAATGAAATGGAGACATCAAGAGTGGGAGCCATCCAACCAGCTAGGACAGTATAATCTATCTATCTATCTACCTATCTATCTATCTATCTACCTATCTATCTATCTATCTATCTATCTATCTATCTATCTATCTATTTATCTATCTATAGTATATATAGGCCAGTAAAGAGATGGTGGTGTCGGCTGTAGCTCTTGTTTTATTATAGAGTTGGTTTCCCACATAGGAACACATTAAATTAATATTTTCAGATTATTGTTATATGTCAATCTTAGCTCAATAAAGCTCCTGTTTTAAAAGTCAGGTATGTTGGCGGCTCATCATACTCAAGAGACAGAAACATGAAGATCTTGCATTCAAGCCAACCTATCCTACACAGTGAGTTCAAGGCCAACTATGCTGGTCAACCTGGACTATTTGGTGAAACCATGCCTCAAAATAGAAAGATTGCTAAAACTTTTACTTAGTCAAACTATTTGAAACTACTTTCCTGACAAGGAAAAAATAACCCTCAGAGTGTCTATGCAGTCTCAGTCTGCTCTGTAGAAATAATAACCCTCACCTGTGTGAATAAACAGCATTGTTACATTACAAATCCAGCTGTTGAAGTGTGTGTATGTGTGTGTGTTGTTTGTTTTGTTTTTTGAGACACAGTCTCATGTAATCTAAACTGCCTTGAACGTCTGATGTTTCCACCCCTACCTCCGAAGTGCTGGGGTTTGGACTTTTGCCATCACACCAGGTTATCCTGTAGGGTTTTGTATCATTGTTGCCTCTATCAGTATGTCTGTGTGTGGTGCTGGGAACTGAGCCTGTATGGCTTTATGTTTTGAGGCAAGTGCCTTGCCACTGAGCTATAGTGTGTGTGTGGGAGGGGAGTGTTGTTTATTTATCTATTTATTTTTGAGAGTCTTTTTAGTTTCCTATTTATTTTACAGAGTCTTTCTGGGGTCTAACCCTCACTCCAATCCTCTGCTTCAGACTCCAGAATACTGCGATGACAAGAAGCCCAGAAACGTAGATTTAGAGAGAAGTGTATCTACAGAAAACTTGGAAAATGTCATGGACACAATTTTGTTGGCAATAATTAGCAGAACCAAGAGTCAATTAATAGGCATAGGAGCACAAGCTTTTAATCCCAGTCTTCAGATGCAGAGGCAGACAGATTTCTGTGAGTTCCAAGACAACCTAGTCTACTGAGCAAGTTCCAGGACAGTCAGGGCCTCATAAAGAGACCCTGTCTTGACCCCCTGTCTTCATTAGGGTTTTCATTGCTGCAAAGAGACACCATGACCACGGTAGCTCTTATAAAGGGAACATTTAATTGTGGTAGTCTGCTTACAGTTCAGAGGTTCAGTTCACCATGATAGGGAGCATGGCGGTGTGCAGGCAGACACAGTGCTGGCTACATCTTGACCAGAAGGCAGCAGAAAGTCAACTTACACACTGGACGGTATCCTGAGTAT